CCCTGAGACTTCCGTGCAATTTGCTCAGGAACGGCGCTCCCGCTTGAGACTTCCTCGCAACTTAGTCAGGGCCCCCGCTTCCGCCTGAGATTTCCTCATAATGTACTCAGGACTGCGCTCTCGCGTGCGACGTCCTTACAAATTATTCTGGAATTGCGTTTCGGCGCTCAAGAACCACGCGCGCGCCAAGGACGCCTTCACAACGTGGTATCTTCCCTCTTCCTTCGTCCTTCCCCCTCCCCTTCCTCCCACTCTCCCTCGTTCTTCCCCTCCTCCTCTTGCAGGGCCCGTGCCAATTCCAATGGCGGACAGAGAAATGTACGCCCCCGAAGGATTGTCCGCCCGTTCCGGTTTGCCCGTACGTCTAAGCCCGCCGGCCCCAGCAAAGAGAAAAAATCCCCCCGAAAGGGGTGTGATCGAAGACGAAGAGGGCGGGCATCGAGGGTGTAGGGTATACGTGTTGAATGACTCGCGGGCAAGTAAGAGCGTACAGCCTTAAAATGGTTGTTGTTGTTGTTGTTGCTGAATTCGCACTTCTGAAAACAATTATGGTTGATCCCCCCCACCGGTGCATACTGTTTTTTCTCAATCAAAGTGTGCCCCTCGACGATCGCACCCTGTTTTTTGACAGAGAAACTCTTCCTGCTCAAACTAGTCCCTTGGCCCCCGGGTTACAACAACAACTGCTCCCGCCTGAGACTTCCTCACAATTTAGCCAGGACCCCCGCTCCCGCCCGAGACTTCCTCGCATTTGATTCAAGAATCGCGCTCCCGCTTGGGACTTCCCTACAATTTATTCAAGAATCGCTCTCCCGGAGCTCTGGAGTCGCGCTCTCGCTGGAAACTTGCTTGCAACTTACTGAAGAGTGGCCTTGCGTGGGGATTTCCTGCAATTTGCCCAAGCGCCGCGCTCCCGACACCCAGGCGCCCGTTGTGACCCCATGTGCGTGCCATTCGTGGCCCCGCTGTCGCCAGTTGTGTCCCACGTGGCCCACTTGCTACCCTCAGTGGCCCCATAGTTGCCTTCTGTGGCCCCGCATTATCTGCACTTCGTGGCCCCCGCTCGTTCGCACTCTTCATGGCCCCATACGCATTCCCTTCGTGTCCCCGCTGTCGCCCTTCGTGGCCTAGTTCGTGCCCTTCGTGGCCCTGCTGTCGTTCTCTCTCGCTCTCGCTTTCGCTCGTCGTCGCCGTCGTCGCCGTCGTCTTCGACGTCGTCGTCGTCGTCGTCGTCGTCGTCGTCGTCGTCGTCGTGGTCGGTTCCCTGTCTGTCCCTCTTGGGATCGGGTCGACGGTCCGCGGCCGCCCCGCCGATCAGCGCTGCCGCTGGCCAGGCCGACGGTCCGCGGCCGCCCCGCCGCTTGCCAGGGCCCCGCCTGCAGGGAAGAAAGGTATACCCCCAAAAAGGGGTTCGATCGAAGACGAAGAGGGCGGGTATCGAGGGTTTAAAATTATTGTTGTTGTTGTCGTCGTTCCCCCCGCGACCCGGCCCGCGAACCACCCGCGACCCACCTCACGACCCACCCGCGACCCACTCCGCGAACTAACCGCGACCCACCTCAAAACCCGCTCGCGACCCACCCGCGACACAGCCGCGACCGGCCCGCGACCCGGCCCGCGACTCACCCGCGACTCACCGTCGACCCACCCGCGATCCACCTGCGACCCAACCCGCGACCCACCTACATTGTTTTAACAAAAAATCGGCGCCTGCGGCGGGTTCGTTGTATAGCTTGAGGAATTATGCGCCTGCGGCGGGCTTCTTCAAGGCCTCGCAAACTGCCGACGTCCCCGCCGACCCCTCACTCTAATCCGCAACTGCGGGGTGCTACGTACATATATACTGGGTCACCCATCATCGTGACACGCGCCGCGCGAAGTGCGAAGCGCGGCCATGAGAGCGGTTTTGTTCAGATTTTTCGCGATAGCGGCCATTACTGGCCCCGCCCCCCCCCGCTCGTGCTGACGCTCTAACTGCCTCAGGCTATTCCTAGACAGTCCCGGGACGGCGCCAGCGCGAAACGTGACGTCACCGGCACCCGCCACCCCCCACCTCTGGGTGACGCCCGCTACCGCCCCAAGGCATCAAAAACGCCCTCCACTTCGGCGCTCTCGCGCCGATCCCTGGAGACGAGCGCCTGTCCGGTCCGGGCCGCGAGGCACGCGGCGCCCGTCTTCTGCGGGCCCGCGCGGCAGGGCTGCCCTCAAGTCGGGCCTGTCCCTCTACAGGAGGAATATTGAAACATAGGAAAAAAAATCGGGGGACGATGTTGTGACTAGTTTGTGACTATGTTCTGACTGTTGCTATGTTTCCTCCAAAAGCCCCCTGCAGGAGGACATGCCCGACCGAAGGATGCCCCAGACATCACCGCTCGGAGGCCGAGAGGCGCGCTCCGGAGCGTGCTGGCGGCGAAGAGCGCCGACCCCGTGACAGCGGCGGCCCTCGGCACGCCGTAGGTCCCGAGGAGCTCGCGGGGGCTGACCGACACGGTCAGGAGGCCTCGGGAACGACGACGACGACTACGACAACGACGACGACCACGACCATGACCATGACGACGACGACGACCACGACCACGACGACGACGACGACGACGACGACGACGGCACTGGCGACGGCGACTTCGACGACGACGGCGACGACGACGGTGGTGGCGACGACGACGACGACGATGACGACGTGCTTCCTTCGGGGTTCTCTGGCGAGCTTGGGGGCGCGACAAAACGGCCTGGGCCTCCGCAGGCAGTGCCGATCGCTCCTTCCGATCCGCAGCATCGTCATCACCAGAGGGGTCCTGATCGTCTCGAGCGTGATCGCGTGATCATCGCCACTGGTATTATGATGTTCCAACCTACTTTAGCCTTGATCACCAGAAAGAATTTCAAGCACCAACAAAAATACCGACACTCGAAGGTTTTCACGTGTCGGGCCCTGGGAGATACTCTTCAGACACTGTTTCGACACTATTTCGATACTTTTCCGGGTGCTCGAAACTAATTCTGGGATGTGGTCCTTAAGTACGATGGGAGCAACATAACACTGGTATGTTCGCCAACGCTAGCAGTTGTCGCCAGTCATCATCCCATGGTCATTGCACACATAAATGTGACTGCGACATCTTTGTCCACGTGAATCCGATTCTCGATGCTCTGGAGCTCACGGCAGTGACCCTCTTCTGCCGCAGGAAGACGAACCATTGACGCACCAAAGGTTTATGAACGATGTTGCTACCAAAGAGTGTCTGAATGACTCTTGCTTCTCACGCTTGTCGGCCCAATCGGCCACCGTGCCCACGAAACGTTGTCATGATTACCAGACAGGGTATCTCTAATATCCCATGGGCTACCCCTGCTAGAAGGACTATTTTCCACTATAAACGCACCCCTACGTTGTACTCTCCAGCTCTCGCCGCAGCCACAATCGTGCTTCAAGACGCCCCACGGGCCTCAAGATAGATACCCAAACATAGCTCATAAGCCCTACAGCGCGCCTAACGGGCCTCAGACTGAAGACAGCGCAGAAGCCTATGAGAAGCTCCCTTCACGATGCCTCCCAAGAGGCCACAACGACAGCCCTCAGGCCCCCCCCCCAACGATCCCTCAATCAATGTGCTGGGAGGAGAAAACACTGAACGTAAGCAGTAGTTGCTCAATGCTGCTGGCTTCCCCAAGTGTTCGGCCCAAGATGGTATCGGGAATACGTTCGAGAGCTCCAAGACTGGCTTAACAAATCCCGATCAACTCCCCAGGACAACCCATAAGTAGGACACCCATAGATATCGATGGCGCTACTCTGCAGACCTCTTCCTTGGTGCGATCCGACCAGGATTTCGAGGCCATTCCAGCGGTGGCGACAAGGGCCTCCCAAGAGGCTTAAAAAGGAGAACGCGAACGCCATGGCGAACGCCATGCCAAGATAGCAACCTCGGTACATTGTCATCCACAGAATAGCGGCTATTTCACAAGACAGCCAAAATACTGACCCATGGAGCGCCTCTAAAACGCCATGGCCCCAAGAGAGCTGCAAACAAACACCTTGTGATCCGACCAAACGGCCCCACGACGCCCAACAAATCCCTCTTGAGAGTCCCTCTGGAAACCGGAACAGAGGCCCGCGCCACAAATGCCCTCAAGAGGCGTCATTTCCAATCAACCAAAGTCACGCAACCGCCTTGCAACTTTACGAAGACGCCGCGCTAGAGCATCGTAGGGGCATCTGGGCGGCTCAAGACGGCCCCGAGGCAACCCCGATGACAGCCACACAAGAGCCCCAGGAAGCCCCTCGACGACCCAAATGAGCTCCATGAGAGCTAGTCAAGAGGTGAAGCGAAAAGTGACACATGTGACGGTCTTCGGTGCTCGATGCTTTGCCATCCAGCGGACTGAGCTGGCACGGTGGCACGCTGGCAACGCTTACATACCCACGGTGACAACAATTCACTGTTTGGAGGGTCCACGCTGGCAAACCTTCTCTCTCGGTTGTTGAAGGCGTCTCGAGCTTTATTTCTTCAGGCTATCAGCAGCCAGCGCGGGCGCGAGAGGTCTGGATGACCCTAAGGCGGCCCAGGCAGCCCCCAAAGACTCTCAGTTTTTAAATGCTTGTCGAGTTCTCGTTCCTTGGGCTATCGTCAGCCAGAGCGGGCGCGAGAGGTCTGCAGGATTGCCCTGAGGGCCAAAGCAGCCACACGAGACTCTCAATGTTTGAATGCTTTTCGAGTTCTCGTTCCTTCGGGCTATCGGCAACCAAAGCGGGCGCGAGAGGTCTGCAGGATGGATCTGAGGCGGCCCAAGCAGCCCCACAAGAGTCAAGATAGACCAACAGGACCCCAACGAGGCGCCCAAAGAGGGCCCAATACAGCCCGAGATACTTCCAAGACTACCCCAAGACGCTCCGAACGGGCCATAGAGGCTCCCAATATGGCCGCCGACGAGGCCCCATTGGGCCCTCAGAACCCCCCCGAGAGCCCCTGAGGGGGCCCCCAATAGGCCCCCCTCGGGAAACCACTAACAAGCCCCAGGGGAGCCCAAAATGGCCCCTAAGAGACCTCCTCCTCCTCCTCCTCCTCCTCCTCCTCATCATCATCATCACCATCAGCATCGTCATCGTCGTCGTCGTAGTCATCATCGTCATCCTCCTCCTCCTCAACCGCATCCTCATCATCATCCTCATCATCCTCATACTCATCATCACCATCATCACCATCATCATCACCATCACCATCACCATCACCATCACCATCATCATCAGCATCATCATCATCATCATCATCATCATCATCATCATCATCATCATCATCAGCATCATCATCCTAATCCTCCTCATCATCGCCATCCTCATCATCATCGTCATTACCATCATCAGCAGCAGCCTCATCCTCATCACCATCATGATCTTGTTCGTCATCCCCATCATCCTCATCATCATCATCAACAACATCATCATGCTCATCATCGGTGTTCACCCTTTCCCATCCTCTGTGACATCTCCCCCCCGAAAAGACTCTGCCGCACCGGCAGGGGGGACACACGTGGCCCGAGAGCATCGTGGCCAGACCTTCGGGACCCAGTGCCTGGCCACGCGCGGGCGGCTGCAAAAGAAGCAGGGGGCCGCCAGCGTTCGCCGCAGGCGCCCTCGATCCGCCACCCCCGCAGCCTGAGGAGGAGGAGGAGGAGGAGGAAGAGGAGGGAGGAGGAGGAGGAGGGGGAGGAGGAGGAGGAGGAGGAAGAGGAGGAGGAGGAGGAGGAGGAGGAGGAGGAGGAGGAGGAGGGGGAGGGGGAGGCGGAGCAGGATAAGGAGGAGGATCGATCGATCGAGCTCTCGGGCCAGTTCGGTGCTGCGCTCGCTCTGGGCTCTGCGCTGCTTTACAACATCTGGTGGCATAGCTGTGATGTCCTTGCTGAAAAAAGGGGTCGCAGGCGCTATTCGACGCTCGGGCCCTAACTGCACCGACCTCCCCCGCGCAGGGGGTCGCGGGCAGGGTAGCACCCGATGTTACGAGTACCCTCTCGCTCACTCCTCTTCTCCCCTGCTCGCCCCCCCCTCCCCCTTCCCTTTCTCTTCGGTTCGGGGGGGGGGTCGGCGCACTACATATTAATCAGGGAAGCTTTGGCCTCGGAGTTGGTAGAGGTTGGGAGTCTCGGTCGACGGGGGAGGAGTGGGGAGGCGGCCTTCCCTGACTAGCATTCTGAAACGCTCACTAGTTTTGAAGGCCTGCGGGATCGCTCGGGCTGCATCGGCCCTCGAAACTGGACAGAGCTGGACTGTTTTCTCATGGCCGTCGGCCTCGCGCTCACTGTGGCACATTGCCTGGTGCGTCTCACGGTGAACTGCGCCCTGAGCTGTGTCTCGTACCTTTGCTACTGGCCATTGATCAGGCGGCCCAGCTCGCGCCTCAGCGCTCCCCTTGGTGCCGATCCCGTCTTGCGAATGGCCTCCTCCTTGCGCAGTTGGCGCGCGAAGATCGTCTCGATCTGGTGCAGCGTGGTCTTGACCGAGAACTGGACTCGGCATCGCTCCTGAGCTCCTCCCTCTTTTCGCTGTTCTTGCGCACCGTGAAAACTGGGACGCCGTCCGCCACAGCCTCTGCGCTGCCAGATAACATTGCGTCCTGGTAATACTTCTCCAGGTGCTCGCGTTCTGGCCCTTCGTCGAGAGCCCGTCCTGCGGACGCGCGGGCTGCCCGACGATGCCGCGTCCATCTGATCGCCAGTGCCCCGCGGCGTCGTAGCTTCTGTGCCTGCTCGTTGTGCGCTTGTCCTGCTGCACGCGCTGCCTTGGCGATGATGCTGTCCGCGTCGATCTCCCACGTCTGCATCGCCGCCGCCGTTGACTCTGCCTGCCCCCTGGCCAACGTGAGCGTCGAGCGCGCCGTGAGGTCCACCACCTGCGCGCGTCGGGCGCCGCGCCTCCCGCTGGCCCAGCGGGTGCTCCTCCGAGCGGGCGTCGCGGTTATCGGCTGCGGTCTGAGCGAGGCGGTCCTCGCGCTGCTGCTTTCGGCGCCGCTGGCGCCCGCTGCGGGCGCGGGTCGAAGAGCGCCCTCGGCTCCGCGCGGGCGTAGAAGCGGTCGCGGGAGGTGCGTGCAGAGAGGCTGATGCTGAAAGAAGGAGCCTTTGTCTAGTGCTAGGTGGCTGCAGAGCGGGCGCGGTGTCTTCGGTTTCAACGGGCGGCACTGGCTTCTCGTTCGATCTTGGTTGCAGCACCCTGTCATCATACTTATGCCTAGATGTTTCCATGCGGTCCCACGGCTTTCAAACGCCTGGTAGCAAGTGGTGCGCTCGTTGTTCGTACTTAGTAGAGCCACTAAATTATGAACACGATGACGTCGCATGGCGCGGCTGTGAAGCGCTTTCTTGCTCGAGAAGGGGAGCAGTCATTCTTCCGCTCCATCCCTGAGTTAGCATTTCCACGGTTGGAGATCCTGGCGGGCCAGATCTTCGATGAGTTCGTCGTTTTGGGCCTGTCCAGGAGGGGGGATCGCCGCTGTCAGTTGAGCTGCTCTG